ACCGTCTGGAAGAAGCCTTGCAGCACCTGGCTGTGCGGAGAGATTTCTAGAGAGGAGTATGTGGAGGAGCCTTCGAAAGCGACGTGGTTGATACGTTGAAAGGGAGTCTTGTAGATCTGTGAAGTGTAGAGAGCGAGAGAGAGAGAGCAGCCAAAATAGAAATTTATTATATTTTTGTGGTGAAATATATTTAAAATTTTAGACTGAAAACCTCCAAACTACGACTACTTTTGCAACGTCTCTAACTTACCTTACGTCCATTGATGTACCATGTAATGTTGGCCGGCGGATATGACGGCCCCACCGTACAGACAGCCTTGAAGTTGTCATTCATAGTGATGACCTTCTTATCCACCTGCATGGCTGGCTCATCCTTGGGTAGTTCGATGACCTGCATGTGTGCGGCGCGTATGTCGGTGTGGAAGAGTGGCTCATCTTCGGACACCTCGCACTGGTAATTGCCGGTTAGTTCGCGGTTGACACCCTTAAGCGTCACCGAAGTGGCGTCTGAGTTTGTGAGCTGCAAAGAGTGAGAGAGAACCTTGAGTAAGTTAATTATTTTGGCATCAGCGTGTCATGACAAACTTTTTGTCTTTTGGCGATTTGCCAGCAAAAGAAAAAATATTTTAAGGAAAGTTGTTGAAAAGTTTTCACCCAGTCAATGTTTGATTTGTCAAAGTCAACCAACTGAGGTTGGGAGGTTAAAATTTTTAAGACGCGCAATAAATTAATACCAATTGACTGTGCTTGAAAAGATTGAACTAAATCGACACGAATTTATTAAACAGAGACGACTAAAGACCCGAAACGAGATAGAAAGGGCACATATATTGCTGACAGTGGCCTTAAAGATTATAAAAAATTGGAATAGTAAAATTTTGTTAGAGAATACGGCTATAGGTATTTCTACATGCACAAAAGAGAGTGACTTTAAGTTAAGTTAAAAAATGTTTCTTCTTGATAAATTCCATTTGTTGAGAAGAGTTTAACGCAATACACCTCTGGTCCATGAACTCGAGTTCGTAATGAAAGTGAGCGGTCACTAACAAGCACAATTCGCGTTGCTAACGTGTAAGATCCAGAGATACATGGTAGATAATCTAAACTTGCTATTTCTTACTTCTAAGGACAGGTTGAAACTATGAGAAACAGTTACTGCTCCAAGTGAAGTGATGCTGCTGAAGTATTCGCCAGCATGCCGTCTACTGACATCCAAGGGGACGAATTCGCGCGACTGTACCAGCCGTCTTAAGTGCCATCTTCAGGAGTAAAAAAACACAGACTGCTTCCAGACATTCATTCGTGGATAGAAAGACGACAAGGGGAACTGAATTTCCACCTAACTCAAATACAGAGTGGGCTTGGATGCTTAAGAAAGTATCTATTCCAAATTAATCATGATGTTAACCCGTATTGTCCGACGTATACAGAGTGCATAGAAGACTCTGAACACGTATTCTTTCATTGCCTGGTTGATTCCGCTCTGCTTTCAATGCCTACTATACAAAAAAAAAGTCAAAATTTCTTCTGCATATTCAAAATCCCCCATGAGTTCGCTTCCCACTTTCTATACATTCTCCAACTGAATAAGTTATCCATTAATCTCTAGGGGTGGCTTAATATTAATAGGATACGTTGATCCAAAGATCTACAGCTTGTTAATTATAAAGTTTAAACTTTGCATAGGTGTTGAAACTGCAACGGGCCATAAGGAACAGTAACAATGGCTGTTGTTATAAGCAAGCATTACTGCAATAATAATAATA